TATATATATCCAGTTTACCAAAAAAAAAAAAAAAAGACTTACCCCTAGCCTGAGATTCTATGGAGTGAAAAATAGAAGTGTAGAAATAGAGGTACACAACTTCCTTTTACAATCGTTACCGATATACAAATGGTACAGGAGCTACATATTCAAATTATGGGAACAAAGTATCTTACTGATATCATTGGACTTGAACAGATTTTCAGTAACTCAAGGAAAAGAAGAAGGGACAAAAGTTTTCTACAGTACAGAACTAGCGATAGTAGTTATTCTGTTGGTAACCATATTGCTGTTGATGATCCGACTCTGGAGTGAAATTGTGTGATTCCAAGTTACTCCTGAGGCGCCATCCTTCAGGTTCCTTCAGGAACTGATTTGACTCTATATAGTTTCGGATATTCACAATCACCTTGTTCAACTTTGCATCGCCTCGATCTTTCAATGCAGTTAGAAAATCTTTAGCAATGATATCCAACATCTTTCTGAATTGTGTCTTATATCTTTTGTGTAGAGCAAAACCTGCCATCTGGTGACCAAGACATTTTCTTTTAACTCCTACCTCATTTCATTAACATAAAAGGAACTGAGAAAGAGCTTCAACTTACTTCAAGAAAAGCCTGCAAGGCAGCTGCAGTATATAAATTTGCTGGGAGAACATTTAAGAATCTGGCTATCCATGCCCAACCTTCTCTGAGGCCATGCAAGTTTTGGCAGCCTTCAACTTCAGTCTGCCACAAAATGCAGTTTACTATTAAATCAGTTACTATAGGAATGAAGGGGGAAAAAAACAATTTTGGTCCCTGAATTATAGAAGAGCAGACACATTGTCAAAGACAATTGGATCTCTATCTGGAGGCTTTAAATGGAACCTAACAAGAAGTTGAAGTAAACCACAACTCAAAAAGATGATGCGCACGAATTATGATGATTATATGTATATTTTGTATTCCTTTTATTTTCAAGTTGAAATCATCAATGCATAGAAACTGCTAACGTTGGTGCTAACTGAAGGAGGGAGAATGGCCAGGTTGATGGAGAAACGACTGAACCCAAATTGATGTCCGTCAGCAGAAGATAACATCTGTTAGTTTCAATGAGTCATTGGACCAAAATCGCACACTTGTTAAATTGAAGGTCAGATATGATCATGCAAATAATGCAGGGACTAAAACCGGAATAAAGCAAAACTCAGAGACCAAAACCACTATTTTCCCGAACGAGTAAGATAGACGAGAGTGTCGGCAACACAAGCATTAAGGATTCTTGAGGATAAAAGTAACAAATGTCTAAGCAACTGACCTGAACAAGAGCACCATATAATTTCATGTATGCACTTAAGCGATCCACATAACTATCAGTACTTTCTATCTTCCCATCTTCCTCTGCATAGCCAATAGCTTTATAATAAGCTTCTTTTGTCTGAAATGCTGCCTGAAGTGAAAGAACACGTCAAACTTAATTTGTGGAGGTGGCATAGTACAATGTGAATCATGGGGTGAAGAAGGTTATAATGTCTGCGACAAGTTCTTTTCTCACCACTTAATTGAAGAAATATTATGCTCCAAGACAATCAAGTAAAAAGAATCCCACAAAAGACAACAATGAGATGTGTAGATGCCAAACAGGTAATACTAAGGCAAATAAGAAGTACCTCTGAGTAAACAATGTACTTAGGAACTGCGTAAATGCAAACTTTATTCAACTCGCCTATGAGAACATCCATGGCAAGAGAGACCTGTGATGAAAAGCAAACCAATATGTAAGAATGGTAATCTACATTAGTTAGTACTTTCTGATCCATATTCATGATCCCTTTTTAAACCTAAAGTCTCCTGTCCTAAATTAAACCATTTTATGTTTTTTAACAATCCTAGAGCCCTTCTCGCACTATCAATACAACCTCTAGATTTCCCGTCATAAGAAATTCCTGACATCTACTTTAAATTCGAAGGTATTCCCCATTTTTTCCAGCAATTCACCTTTTGGGCTAAGGTCTGGATATTGCGTTTGGATAGAAAACAATTTTATTTTTGGTGGTTTTAGGAAATTTAGCTTTGGGTTTGTGTTTGGATGTGGCTTTTGGTAAAAGCATCGCTAAATCCCTAAGCAATTTTTTAGGCCTTCAAGTGGGTGAAAATTAAAAGATTTGGTTGAAGAGAAACAACAAATATTTTGTTGAAGAAAAAAGAAAGCGGGAGTCTGAAGTGTAAAGTGGAGATGTCCAGTACGTAACCAGCCACTTTACTGGCGGAGGGGCTTGCCTGACAATTTGAGACCCCATTTGTTTTGGTTCTGGAGAACAAGTTTAGGTTAGAAAGTTTGGTATAAAAAACAATCACCCTCAATGTGAAGTCAAAACGTGACACTCAATCTGGGACTGAGCATGACTAGGTTTAGATAAAAGCATATTGGCTTTTACTGATTAGTGAAGAAAAAAAATGCTTTAACTGCTTTCTTTTCAGTTATTGACGTTGATATCCTAATTATAAGACAACAAGAACTAATATTGACCTATAATAGCAAGAGGACCAGAAAAATATCATAATTAATTACCTTTGAAGTAACAAGGACAATTACACGACCATACGCATAGACGGCACTGTTAAAGCTTCCTGTCGGGTTCACACACAGGGACACAACCTATAATATTGAAAACCATAATCACACAGGCAAAGCTCAAATAGTAGAATGTATTCAATATACACTAATCAACTGCTGCATCAAGAACCCACAATTTTCTACAAGCATAAACATATGCAAACCCCAAACCCCAACACCCACCCCTGTCCCGTGCCCCTCCCGAAAGAGAAAAGGAAAAAGAGAGAAGTAAAAACAATGACATCATAAGAGACACCGAAAGAAAAAAACCCAGTTGAAGTACTTCAGGATTTTACCTTCTGTGCAAACATCGCAATGCTGATGGATTGTGGACATGTTGGATCACTCATTAGCTTAATTAATTCATCTGCTTTCACTCTGCACAAGGAAAAGTAACATACATGTATCAAACAGCAATATAGTTCTTGCACCTCATGAAGTTTAATCCCAAAAGTGGTTCAAAAATATAGGTCAAAGCAACCAAATACGTGACTTAAATATGGGAGGTAGAAAATGGTTTCAACAAGAAAAATAATTAAAGCTACAGGAGATAGGGCTAACAATCTAAGAGAAGAGTATCCAGGTACCTGACATTTTCTTTTGTACCAGTGATAGTTCTGATTCGTCTGGCTATTTCCATTTCATATTTTCGGTAAGCCTGTTAAGAAAGAATTTGTGTTAAACCATAGAATATCAGAAGTACCCCAAATCCGGATTGTGGAGTAGTAGTAGTAGCAGCAGTAGTAGTAATATAAAATATCAGAAATTACTTAACCCAAATTAACATCCTTAGGATCTAAAATAGAACTCTGGACTAAAGCTATGTACGGTAAGATGGAATATAATAATTCAAAATGCATCTGATGACATTCCAACTAAACAAGCAACTATTTCTTTTTCTTTTACTAAAAAATGACCATATTAGCCAGAAGGTGCAAGTAGCATGCATTTAGGATAAAACGAGAGAAGATCACTTGAGATGGTATGTTGATGTCCTTCGTTGACCTACAGAAGCAGCAGTCCATAGGTGTGAAACTATGGGGAGAAGGTGTTAAAAAGAGGACGAGGTAGACCTAAAATCACATGGAAGGAAGTTGTCATGAAACACCTACAATTACCTGGAATCAATCAAGACTTGGTTAAAGATAGACACAATGGAAGAAAAAGATCCATATAGGTGAAATCTACTACTCCCTCTGTTCCAGTTTATGTGAACCTATTTCCTTTTTGGTCCGTTCCAAAAAGAATGAACCCTTTCTAAATTTGGAAACAATTTACCTTAAACTTACAATTCTACCCTTAATGAGAAGCTTTTATAACCACACAAATACTCTGGGCCCCTTTTTGACTTGTTTAGGACCACAAATTTCAAAAGTCTTCACTTTTCTTAAACTCCGTGCCCAATCAAACAGGTTCACATCAATTGAAATGGAGGGAGTACTTGGGAACAAGTTTTAGTCTTGTTAATACGTTGATTTTGGACCTATTGCTTTTTTAGGAGTATTTTGACCTTATCATAGATTTCTATGCCAGTAAAAAATACTGTTGTCGAGTTGAGGGATTTGAGAGATAAGCTTTGATAAGAGGAAGGCAAACCCATGGACGCAGCTCTCATGTCTAATGAATGTTTAGATTCTAGACAGAAATGCAACAAGCGGTGTATTGTTTGCAAGTTAGACATCGAGAAAGCTGATGATATGTCAATTGGAACTTTCTGATGAACATGCTTGAGGATTTGGGATTGGTAGAAGATTAGGGGTGTCAATGGATATTTAAAAACCGACTAAACCGACCAAATTGTACCGTACCGAGCCGATTTTTAGGTCTTCTTTTAATAAAACCGTAGGTTTTTATATAAATCTATAACCGTACTAATAATTAGGATAAGTTTTTTATTTTATAAAAATAAATCGAAAAAATACCGAACCGTACCGAATAAATTTACATGTGCAAAATATATTTATATATTAAGTATAAAAATAATAAAGAATAAAAATTTTCCTTGGATCTTGGAATTATGAAAAACAGTTACAAGCCAACAAGTAACTAAACTCAAAAAAATCCTAATTCTCAAACCTATTATCCTACTTTTATTGAAACTAAATTATTTTCAGCATATTCACTAGCAAGACACAAGGGTTTGTAGCGATTATGAGCAGCAAACTACAATGTATTAAATATGTTTCCTTTCGTATGATTTAGATTTATCATTTTGAATATTTAATCTTCTATAGATTTTATTCTTGAGTCCTAGTACCAGCTTGGTTAATATCTTTTCACTCGTGTGATATATATTTTTTTTTATTAATTTGCTTAGTTTCTTTTACGTTGTTGTAGAATATTTGATGGATCTATACTTTAGCCATCTTTCATATTTTCTTAATTCATCACCCTTTAAAATGTAAAAATGTCTAAAGAGTTTTGCTAAGTCCTATAAAAATAGGTATGTTATTGCATTCTACTTCTACTAGTGACTTTTACATGATATTTAAATAAAATATCGAAAATTAACCAAACCGTACCAATACCGAAGAGAAACCGATATGATTGGGAGGGTTTCGAAAAAGTCTAATTTTGGTTATATATAATAGAATAACCAACAAAATTGGTATGGTACAAATTTTACAAAATAACCGGCCGAACCGAACTATTGACACCCCTATAGAAGATGGATCAAGTGGATTTCCTTTTGCATCAGTACAGTTAGATATTCCGTCCTTGTTAATGGGAAACCAGTGGGTTTTTTTCTTTTTTTGCAGCTCAAAGAGGTTTACGACAAGGAGATCCTCTTTCTCCTTCCTTATTTTTACTGGTAATGGAATGTTTTAGTAAATGCTATCTGTTACATATGTGAATGGAGGGATAAGAGGATTCAGAGTCAAAATAGTAGCAAAAATGCCATGGAAATCTCACATTTATTGTATGATGATGATACTATGGTGTTGTCTGATGCGGCGATTGAGCAACTTAGGCATCTGCAGCTCAAACTTGTATATTTTGAAGCAATTTATGGTCTTCATGTTAACTGGAGAATAAACTTTTCATATCCAGCTAATGTCACAAATTGCAGCAGACCTACTGGAACTTTAGGATGTCAGGCTGGCACTCGGCCAACTATCTATTTGGCATTGCCTTTAGGGGCCAAGCATAGAGCTAATAGTATATAGGAAGCAGTCTAGGAGAAATGTGAAAGAAGGTTAGTAAGCTGGAAGAAGCAGTATTTATCAAAGGAGGAAGATTGGTACTAGTTAACAATGTGATGGGCTCAACATATGTGATGTCTCTTTTCTCTTTGCCTACTAAGGTTGAGAAAAGAATTGACAAGCTACAGTGGAACTTTATTTGGCAAGGTAATAAAGAACAGAGGATATTTAATTTAGTGAAATGGAACCTTTCGAGGCTAAGGAAAATGGTGGACTGAGGATTAAAAACCTCAGAAAACACAATAGAAGCTTGTTGATGAAGTGGCTATGGAGATATAACTCGAGGATTGATGCCCTTTGAGTTGGTGTGATTAAGAACAAAAATGGAGTTGAGAACCAATGGTGCACCAGAGAAGTAAAAGCTGCATATAGAGTCTCAATTTGGAGACTAATTAGAGCTCACTGGTCTTGTTTCACGTCTAGAATAGGGTTCAAGGTGGGCAATGGGATGAGGATACCCTTCTGGAAGGATATGTGGGTTGGAAATGAGCCTTCAATAGACTGGCAGATCGATAGGGCTACAAAATTTTATAACCACTTAAGCACATTCAAACAGCTTACTGATTCGGAAGATGACATCGCAACAGTAAAAGAATGTTTACTGTGTCTTCTTGGAAGCAAATCTGGAATACAAAAGCCCCTCTCAAGGTAGCTTGTTTTACCTGGATAGTGAGCAAAGAAGCTTGTCTTACTTACGAGAATTTACAAAAAAGAGGGTTGACTCTATGCAGTAAATGCTTCCTATGCGGGAAACAACCCTAGAGTATTCGTCATTTGTCTTTGCATTGCCAAGTTACTGTCCAACTGTGGCAGCTTTTATGAACATAATTCGTCTGCAGTGGGTAATGCCTAGTTCAACAACTGATTTGTTAGCTGCTGGAACATAATTGGGCTTAGTAATGGCAAACTTAGATGGTGTAGTACGATACCTTGTATTTGATGGATTATTTGGACCGAAAGGAATAGAAGATGATTTGAAAACTCTGCCAATTCTATCATTAGGATAAATCCAGATATATTATTTTGTTTTGCACAAGGTGTAGAATGGAGAACGTAAATGATACAGAATCAGTCCTACAAATGTCAGAAGCCCTAAAGGATTAGAAGGGGCATACTTTTGCTGTTTTTGCTTCTGTAAATACTGTTCACCTGTTGCAGCACATCTTTTGTGCTTGTATATATACAATATAAATTACCTTATCTTTCAAAAAAAAGGCAGTAAAAATATAAAGAATTCTTAATATCATTATTATTACTACTGTTTAGATGTACTTTAACTTATTTTTCACTTTTATTTTTATTTGGTACGATGATGACATGAGTTGAGCTTAAATGGAGAAACATGGTCAACGAGGATTCATATAGCCAACCTCAACTTGTTTGGGATTGAGACATAGTTGCTTTTGTTGTTTATTTCAGCTAAAAGAAGACTCAAATGAACTTGTCAAAATGTCTCAATAACTTTTTAAACATGCAAGGATCACATAGTTAAATGTAAGCAGTTCCAAGAACTTGGACCAACAACTCCCAAAACACAATTGGATGGGTAAACGATTATGTTAGTAGGGAAAGAGTTAACTTTAAAAGTCATTACTTCCTCTGTCACATGAAATGTGAGACTACCTCACCGACCACGGAGTTTATGTTACTTTGACTTTTTGTTAATGTATTAGACTATTAGTAGTGGTGAAAGAAAAATATAAAAACAGTTGTTGAAAAATTAGTCTGATATAGCAAAACACATCAATGTAAATAGTTCCAATGGCTTTTAACTCTTAGCAACTGTGCAAGTCAAATAGAATGACAGTATTAATAAAATGGTGTCAAGCATTTGGGATATCCAAATGGAAGAATGCCCAATAAATTAGTATAAAGGGAGCAACTGTCTAGGAATCCTCACTCCCGAGCCTCTGCAAAGAACACTTTACTTTATGCAGCAAGAAGCATAATAGTCTGATAAATCTGCAATGAAATTTCAAATATTGTTTTGCAAGGTTACCTTGTTAGAACCCAATCCCAGTGCTTCATTCTGTGAAGCTATTTCATTGTAAATCATCAATCTTTTCTCCTCCAGCTTTTGAGCATTTTCTGACACCCTGATTGTATTTCCTGCTATATCCAAAATTGCAAACTTGAAATCTACGCATATATTTACAAGCATTAGAAATAGAAAGAAAAACAACACCTAAATGCTTCATCTTGCCACTTGGAGATTGGCGTATCATACACTATTTGATAAAAGGATATCATCGAGTTGACTTTATAAAAAGTAGTAAAAGTTTAGACAATAAATTTTTATATTTAGACTACAGAGAAAAAGACCAGAATAGTCCTTTAAATATAGGGGTAGCTCTAACTTGGTCTTTTAAATATTTCATTGAGCATGAACACTCCTTTATCTTTGTAATTAGTGAGCACCTTTAGTCCAGGTTAGTCTCAAGACATTCACTAACAGAACCTTTAGTAGCACCTTTAGTCCAGGTTAATCTCAAGACCATTCACTAACAGAACAGATATCACCTAACCTAAGCCTAAAAAAATTTGATGGAACTAATGGGAAAAGAGACAACACTAATGGAACAGAAAGAAGCCGCAAGTATTAGCTTATGGAAATTCGCTTACCAATTGACGAAGTTATCAAACTAGCGAATTATGTGGATGCCTAACTCATGAGGATCTCCAGAAAAGAGGACTTCATATATGCAGTAGCTGCCCATTGTGCGAAAGACAAAATGAGGATGTTAACCACCTCTCCATTAATTGCTCATTCACCATGCAGATCAGGCATATCATTCTTAACATAGTAGGGATCATGTGGACAATGCCTGAGACAACCATAGAGCTACTGCACAGCCGGTATACAGAAGGTCTGGAAAAGGATAAGCTGAACACTGGAACTCACTGCCTTCAGTCATCTGGTGGATCATTTGGAAGGAAAGGACCACTAGAATTTTGAAAGCAAAAAAAGAATTTCTAATTAGTATTAAGTATAAATGCATTTCTTTACTGTTCTTTTGGTGGTAATATGGCAAGTGCTAATGAACAACAGCCATGATTGACTTTTTGAGCTCATTACACAATATGTAATGTGGCTATTCCTTGTAAATATTTTGTAGTACTTTGCTGCCAATTAGTGTTTACCAATCAAAAAAAGAATCAATGTTTTACTTTTTCTCATCCTTCACTTAAGTCTTTCACGATTATTCTTCTGTTTCCGATTGGTTAGTCTGTCCATACTAATCTCAGCAGGACCCCCCCCCTCCCCCTCTCTCTCTCTCTCTCTCTCTGTGGCCATTTTCAGCTTCTTGGATATTTGAATGGTAGGAAAGGAGAAAAACTAATAGGAGGTAAATTTTCAAGAAAGGAGTCTGTGGGGGTCATCACCAGAGAACTTCTGTTTGAAGAAAGAAGACCGCGAACAGATATATATATGCATGGAGATGAAGACAGGAACATATTTACTAGTCAAATGATTGGGTTACTGGTAAGAATATTTTCTTTTTTTGGATACCTTTATGCTTTTCTCAACCTAAGAAACTAACGGAAATTCATTTTATAGCCTGTTCGGCCAAGCTCCATAAATCAGCTTATTTTGAGAAGTGCTTTTCTCAAAAGTAGTTTTGGTGAGCAGCAGTTTGTGTTTGGCTACTTAATTTGAAAAGCACTTTTGAGCCGCAACTAGTGTTTGGCCAAACTTTTAAAAAGTGCTTCTAAGTGTATTTTTCTCAAAAGTGCTTTCGGGGAGAAGCTATTTTTTCTGTTTCTCAAAAACTGCTTCAACTTCTACTCAAAAGCACTTTTTTCCTTCTAAAGCTTGGTCAAACATCTTAACTTTGGGAAAAAAGCACTTTTGGCCCAAAAGAAGCTTGGCCAAACAGGCTATTATTCAGTCTGCAGTACCAATTACAGAGCATTAATCCAGAATAAAGGTTGACATTTTGCTCATAAAGGTGAGAAAACAGACGAGAAAAGCAACATCAGTGAAATGATTTCCATGTTTCTCCCTTCGAACAGATTTATTAGACTTGCTGACGAACAATAGCAACAACACTAGTTCTACATCAAATCAAGTTTCATCACCGCTTCATCATGAACTTCCTCCGCTCATAAACCGGTACACCGCAATTGCATGGTCCTTGGCCACAAAGAAGTTTCACAGCTTTGAAGGTGACTTGTAAAAATCCGATGGTTCGTCAGACACATATATACTGATCAGTCACCCGCTTAATATTTAGGTAGTTCTCAAGACTCCATTCCCCAAGTTCGCCTCTAAAACCACTATGTTTTTTTACCACTCCACATCCCCCAATGGAGGATGTCAAAAGCATGGTTGTGAACAGTAGACCCAGAAAATGCCAGGTAAGAATATTTTCGTAAGTAATTTCTTAGGAATATTTCTTGGAGAGAGTTTTATCTTCAGAGTTAGTCTCTTTTCCAAACGCCTAGTTCCCAGCTTTTAGATTTTGTTATCTTTTCCGTCAGTGAATAGCCAGCAATCTAGCCCTGGATCAAAAGTGCTAACTTTTTACAAAGATAAAGGACTGTTTTTGTCCAACTTTGAATATAAGGGATCAAAACAAATCTACCCTTTTTATGGCTTATACTTAAAGGAACGATTAGGGTGTTTCCTCTTAGACTATGCACAGAGCATTTTTTGACAAGGTAAGGTAGTTAAAAAAATCAGGACCATTTCTAAATTTGCGCTTGTCATCCTTGCACGGGGCTATCATGCTAATCTTCTCTATGTCATTCTAATTTTATCGGATGTCCCCGAAGGGACATGCACAGAGCATTTTTTTTAAGTTAGTATTTATTTGAAATGAAATGCCTAATATAAAAAGAAAAAGAGTAGGAGAAAGGTCAAATCTCCATTTCCACTCCCTCACTAAAATTACAGTGAGACATACCTGCTGAATGTTTATGACTAGTGACTTCCTTTGGAACCTTGTTAGCCTCCGAAGGAGCATTCATCAATGACTCAGATGCCTTCTTCTCCACAGCAGCTGCAGCTTCTTTTGCTGCTTTCCTCTCAGCTTCCAGAGCTGTGGCTTTTTCCTGTTCAACTCTTTCAGCTTCCAGCCTAGCCTGCACCTGATGGAATAAAACTTATTATTACCCACAAGGAGAAAATTCAATCACAAACAACAATTTTGAAATAGATGCAGCATGAGGGGAGGCAAATAGACAGCTAGATTTCACAGGAAAGCCAGGGATGCTAGAACCAGGGAATGTGAGCATTAGCACTTGCAGAAGTATGCCACAGGAAAAAAAAATCAGTTTCAATATATATTAAGTTAGTAAATTAACACAAGCACAATTACTTCCTCATTTGACAATGATTCTCCCAAATAGCTAACTTTGTAAAATCTCTAAAATCACAAAACGGCAGGTGACCAGAAATGCAATTGGATAAATATAGCTTTCTAAACTTTTTTCTCCTTGAAAAAATTTCCTACTAAGCATATGAGAGAATTTCCAATGAGCATATCAAATTGTGCATCTCTCTCGATAGGAGTAAAACACATACCTTGGCTTCTGCTCTGATCATTTCTTGCCGGGCTTTTTCTTCTTGAAGTGCTTTTTCCTTCCTCTTGGCTTCTTCACGAGCTGCATCATCTCTTATTCTCCTTTCTTCAATTTGGGATCTGTGTTCGTGATCCCTTTGTACAGCAGTTAGGTGATCATCAAGTGCTTCTGCACTGCAGTAATACAATTGAAGTCAAAAGTATATTTTTACTAAAATTAAACTGTAGGAACATGCAAATGGTGATTAAACTTCAAATTCTGGGTACTCCGAACATGTATAGAGTGAACAAGAAACATTAACAAAAAATTAATATTTGTCAGTCGCAAAGTTTTTTTTATTGAGACCAAGGGCATGCATTTTTTTTTATTGAGGCCAAGGGCATGCAAGTTGTTTGAATCAGAAAATATTCACTTGCAATTAAAGTGACATGACTTCCTGTTGGTGCCCCTTCTATACAATAACTCGGCTCGCTGCCCGTACCCCTGAATCTGTTATACACCTTCATCTGTAATTCATGTCAACAAGAAATGATGAGCAAATCACCCCATTCGCTTTCATTCCCAACCTAAACAACATAAGTGGTTCATGATCAATTGTCAATCTAACATCCTTAGTGAATTTTTTTGTAAGTGAATGCCTCACAAACCAGCTCCTATTTAAGTAATTGAGATTTGATTGGCATGTCTTCAGCAATTATATTATTTCCATTGGTCCTACAGTAGCAGCAGCAGCAGTTGAAGTGAAGTCCACAGTACAGATAAAACAAATACCCTGGTCTTTAGTGATTAAATAGATAATTTTTCCATCAGTTCCAGCAGACCACCATTGGACCAAAACCCACTGAGAAACATTTACCTTGTTATACATCATTGAACAAAGAGAAAACTATTAACTAGATGACAAACTTAATGCAAAAACAATTTTTTTTCACAAAATCAGAGCATTACGCCTTACATTTTACGTTGGTACTGCATGTCAAATTTTCTGTTCATTTCCCTTTGAGCTTCAATATTTCTCTCAACCCGTTCAAGTGTGGAGGCAAGCTTCTCATTTTCATCCATTAACTCAGCTTCAAGTGCTGAAAGTTGATCTCTCATTTCCTCCTGTTGTAAGGTAATAAGAGAAAGAGATTTGGTTTATTATATTCATCCCTTCTTTTCTCCTATGCGAAGCAAGGCGTGGACATGGACAGAGAAAGTTAAGGAAGCATATAAGTGAAGTTACAAACCGCAATAGTAAGCTGGTGCTCATGAGCTAATTCAGATAAAGCACTTTCTACTAATCCCACTTTATCCATTAGATCATGTTGCAGTTCAATGCCCAGGCCTTCTTCAGAATGGTCGCTATCACTGAAACAACATGAGAAATGCTGCACTAAGTATTAATCAAGAATGAAACGGAAATCTATTATTAATAAAAGACACTTGCAAAGCGCTGGATAACTTGCTGTACTACATGAAGTCCATGAGTTTAAGGAACCATAGGAATAACTTTATGACGCACCTGAAAAAAACCTTTATGCGGTAATATTAAGTGCTTCCGCACCCCCACTCCACCCCCGCCACACATACACCTATCCTCCTTATTTGGCTACGGATGTCCTAACTCTTGGCTCAATAAGTAAATGCTATAAACATGTAATGCCTTAAACACCTATAGAGCCAAGCAATTATGAGATGTTTAACATGGGAAGGGCATTCGTAGCAACATATTTCCACAGCTTGTTTCTCTGTTCTAATAGACCTCCTCTCATTCTTACACTCTATAGTGTTTGCAATTGTTGAGTACTTACCTCAGATAGATTTCGTCACAGGCAAAACGTTTTCCCCCCATAACAAAATGATCACCAACTTCATCCTTAGTGTCTCTTTCCAAATCCTCCATGTCGTCATCAGACACTTGCATAATAAAGCCTCTCCGAGAATTATTCTTTGAAGCCGAGAGTTCTCTGAGGAAAGACAGAATAGACCATAACACAGAAAATTTACTATCCAAATGGAACTAAAATACTTGATGTGATTTCACTAAGAAAACCTTATTAAAATAACATACCGAGATTTTGCTTTGGTAAAAGGTATTGGAAATTTCGATGATCCATTGAGCTTCTTCTCTATCGAGTTAAGCTCGACCAATAAAGCATCAAAGCTCCAATCAGGGTTTGGATCCAGGGTCACTCCATCAACATTTTTAGGCAACGGAAGTTGCAGTTTAACAGAACCCCTGAAGAAAATAACCATAACTCAGCACAAACTAAGCAACAAGTAAAATATTGTAGTTACAGAGGTTATAAACAAAAACTTTTGTTCCAGAATTTCTATAAACTTGTTGCAATAAAAGGAAAACTGAAATGTGATGTTATCTCTACAACTGTGAGAAAGGTATTTTGTCAAACATATGCATAGAGGTCACATGAACCAACCCCTCCCTAAAAGAAAACTAAAAAATGGCATCAATTTTTCGTGGACTACAACAAATAGAGAAAGAGATGAAAAAATAGGTATAGGAAAAAAGTACTAACTTACATTATTCTTTCCTGCCTTAAGAACACCTTTAAATAAAGCTGTTGTGTACAATGCTGGCTTCACACACTTGAGTCTTGAAATTTGAGATATAATTAATTGCCTGTAACAATTAAAAAGCAAAAGTTACAAACAGAAAATGTAAAAGATCATAACATGAACACCCATAACAGAAATTTGAAAACAAAACCCTAATTTTACTAATACAGATAAGAGTATGAATAGGGGGAAAAAGATAGCAAAAAAAGGGATAAAGGGGGCACTGATTTGAGATCAAAGTTTCATTCTTTATATTAATTTTCTCCAAGATTTATTTAACAAAAGGCTCTGCTCTCTGTGAAGCGTCTACCTTTTAAGTTTTCTTGTATTTGCAGTTGTGGTTTCTTAAAATAATAGCTATAGAAATTCAATAAAATTAAATGGATTTTTTACTATTCCGAATTGGATAAACGGAATGTTGAATAAATCATAAGCTGAGGCTATGAATTTTGAGAAATTGAAGAGGAAGCGATAAAGGACGGGAGAAAAGGAAGTGGAAGTGCTACAACAACAACAACAACATACCCAGTATATTCCCACAAGTGGGGTTTGGGTAGGTTAGTATGTACGCAGTCCTTGCCCCTACCTTGTGAAGGTAGAGAGGCTATTTCCGAAAGAGCCTCGGCTCAATACAACAAAATCACAACAATTATGACAGAGAACAGCAGCAAACTAAATAGTAATAACATCCCGAAAAAATAAAACGAAGCAAAAAGAACCTCAGGTAAAAAGTATCAATCTAAAAATAGGGAACACAAGGGTAACACTAGTACTACAACTAGGGACACCAGTCTAACATTTGTTTCTATAAAACTTGCCTTTCACTTTGTCAAGTATCTTCCTACTGCACAGCACTATTCCAACACTTATTCATTTCATCAATCTGCTTTAATTGTATGTGATTCATACTCATCTACCATGTCATTCTCCTAGTAGACTAAACCTATATACCTGAATTGTCTTCATTGAGACACCACGGCCTCATTTAATCTTATTTCACCTTTCTTTTTTTTTTTTTTTGATTTGCACAGGGTGTCCGGGTCGCTAAGAGCCCCGACTAATCCCGGGGGTGCACAGGCCCTCGGCAAGGAGTTTCCCGCAAGTGCACCACGGTTAATTCAGGTTTTGCCCAGTCCGATGGCCCTCAGAAATTGTTTGCACCCAGTGGGTTTCAAGCTTGAGACCTTGAAAGGGAGCAAACCCCAAGGCTCAAGTCTATTGCCACCAGGCCAACCCCTGAGGGTTCTTGATGGGGGCTAAATGAAAGTGTATCTATCTTGGACCTACTTATCCTAAAGTAGAAGTGGAAATAAAAATTATACAAAAAGTCAGTATTCCAAACAATTCCATTTCCAAAACATTGAGACAGCTATCTCTCTATGCATTACCTAACAAGTTACAATTATCTATGGCGCTTCTACTATTAACTTATGAAGTTTACTCTAAGAATGTACCTCCACGTACCACTATTAGACTGCTTCGGTTCATGGAATGGGAACAAGTCACAACTTAACAATAGATCTAAAATAGGTCTCTTTAGATCATATGACATACCCATTAAGAGACCTTATTTCTTAATCATTTCTCAAGTCAGAGAATTTGGAAAACTTAAAATAGTAAAATTAATAAGAAATGATTATTACAATCATGGTTTCCTTGTGTTCATTCACTGTAGGGACAAAAGGCGCCGATAAATTGTAAAACAGAACCATACAAATTTGAATCACTAATTAAGAATTCCAAGTGGCTAATAATCATTTCCAGAATGGTGAAGTGCAATTTGGTACTCACTAGGGTTTACCAAATCATAACACCAGCATCAAACAATATGATTTTTTGCGTTATTTTCCATCTTGTGGGCACGGGGTGGAATACTCCAGGGTCCAGGCCAGATAACCGAATGCCAAAATTTATGACTCATAGAGTAGCTAATTAACATTGGATAAAAGTTCTACGGCAACAAACATTAGAAGAATTTGAATTTGGATCTAAAAAGACTCAATTGAACAAGAAGATCCCAACTTCAACAGAATTAAGCAAATTACCCTTTCCATTACAACAATATCAAGAACAGGATAAAACAAAAACTATGCAATTAATTACAACCCTAAATTTTGATTTACCTCAGAAATTCAGAAGAACTTAGCAAAATAAAAATTATTTACTGAAGTAACGGAAAATTTGAATTTGTAAGATATCTCCAAGGAAACCAGAAAGAAAAAGGGGGACAGAAATCCCTACCAATTCCAAGCAACAAGTAAATGGGCTCAAAATAATAAAGAAACTAAGGGAATTAAGGATGAAATTGATGGAATTATCGGAACAAAAGGGAGGTTAATTTTACCTCTCTCGACGTAAGCCATGGTTTGTTCGGTGTGAGCAGAAAGCAGAATACCAGTCTTTTTCTCAAGGCGCTTAGCTTTTATCAGTGGTTCGATCAGAGAGGGAAAAACACAAAGAGGAGAAGAGAGAGAGAGAGAGAGAGAGAAAAATGGCAGTACTCCAAAACCCTGTCACTTTGCTCCATTAAACCCCTCCGCCCTAAAACAAAAACAAAAACAAAAAAATAGATCTGTGTCAAATGTTGTACTTTTAGGTTGTGTTTGGTTGAAGTAAAATATTTTCCGGAAAATGTTTCCAATTTTCTCATGTTTGGTTGGTTTAAATGTTTTGGAAAACATTTTTCTTATGAACTCATTTTCCTTCAATTGGAGGAAAATATTTTCCTTATAAAGAGAAGGGAAAATATTTTTCAAAACTTATTCTCACTACCAACCCACTTCAACCCCTCTCTCCAAAAAAGATTTTTTTTTTATTTTTTTTCAAATTTCAATTTTTCCGTTACCACCCACCTTATTATCCCTTCACCCCAACCCCACCCCTCTCCCGCAAAAAAATATTATTTTTTTATCTTATTTTTTTATTGCAATTTCAAATTTCTATTTTTTTGTTTTTCTGCACCACTCACCCCCAATTGCTCCCCCCCCTCCCCCCACAAAAAAATTTACTCTTTTTTTTGTAATTTCAAATTCTGTTTTTTTCGTCTTTCTGTTTTTGCCCCCTCCAACCCCCTCCCCCTCCCGAAAAAAATTATTTTTGATTATATTTTTCAATTTTAGTTTTTTTATTTATCGGTTAAAGGTTCAAAATTTTACAAGTTCCAAAGTTATGAGTTCGGACATTTATGTGTTTGGAAGTTTACGGGTTAGAAATTTGCGGTTTCGAAAGTTTAGCGGTTCGAACGTTTATGAAAAATGTGGGTTCGGAAGGTTGTTGGTTTGAAAGTTTATGGCTTCATGTTTATTATATCTAAATTATTTATGAATACTCTTGAGAAGTCATTTTCCTTAATTTGCGTACCAAACACCGGAAAATGAATAAGACTACTACTTATTTTTCAAAAAAATATTTTCCACGGAAAATATTTTCCGTTATACCAAACACACCCTTAATCCTGTATTTTTAGGTTAATTTTAGATCTGTATTTTAGGTTAATTTTACTCAAATGTTGTACTTTTAATTCTAATATACATTTGTATTTAGAAAATCGTTCCGTTTTTTACATTAACATTAATAAAAGTATAGCGTGAAATAATAGAAATATACAAATACCTTAATTTTATATTTTTTCTGATTGTGATCTCTCGTGGTTGAAGTTGCTTAAAGAAACATTAGTTGGTGTTTGAATTGCATTACTTTGATGAGGCTACCGACAAATTCTTCATGTGCACACGTCTTTTGTTTTATTTTGTTTCCGGTACCACTTAAATTCGACTTCCTTTAATATTCGTGTGATGAATGTAATAAAATAAATTGATTTTACTTGAAGTTTACATTACAAGGCCTTACACTATTATGAAGAAAACTATGACACCATACTTACACTATTTTTGACGGGGTTCTATCGCTTTTAAATTTTAGAGTGATTTCAAATAAATTAAAGGAAAAATATTCATGCACTATTTGAAATTACTCAAGCGTTGTACTTTTAATTCTAAAATACATTTGTATTTAGAAAATTATTCTGTATTTGACATTAACATTAATAAAGGTCTAGCGTGAAATAATAAAAATATACAGATATCTTAATTTTATATTTTCTCTGCTTGTGATCTCTCGTGGCTGAATTGCTTAAGAAATATTAGTTGGTGTTTGAATTGCATTACTTTGATGAGGCTACTGACACATTCTTCATGTGCACACATATTTTGTTGTATTTTGTTTCCGGTACCACTTAAATTCAAATTCCTATAATATTCATTTGATGGATATAATGAAATAAATTGATTTTACTAGAAGTTTATATTACAAGGCCTTACACTATTATGAAGGAAACTATAACACCATATTTTTCTATTGGTACTTGGGGCTCTCATGCTTTTAGCAGCAATGTTGGTAACATTTTTTCTCGAAGTTTGGGTAACATCAGTCAGAACTTTTGTGCGTTAACATTTCTTCCTTTGTTGAGTTAGTGTAATACTAATATTAACATTCATTATTTTTAGAACTTAAATTTCTCCTTCAATTATTTTCTAACTTAAATACTTTTTTAATATGTGAAGTTACAAAAAGTTATACTCATTGATAAAGGTACACGCGCATCATACGTACTCTAAGACTAGTGTGTGTGTATATATATATATATACACACACACACACACACATATCCACGTCTGCAAGATATATACTTGACAGCGTCAACGAATTTTTCTAGCATGAGTTTGTCCTGCACTCCTCCCTGTTCACGGGCAACTTCTCTTGGCTGCACACATTTTTCTTGCAAGAGCCTATCACACTGGCCAGTATTCTCTCAGTCTGTTGATGCAATTGCGTTATTTCATCAGGCAAAAGGTTTACCGGCAAAGGAGCAGGACTTGCACAAAAGGCTATTGAAGGGGCGAATGCTAGAAAAGCAAAATCAACCAAATGTAAATTTGTCAATTAAATAGCACCTTAGTAATTTTTTGAATGTATGTAAGTACTATACAAATAATTATGTTACAACCTTGGAGATCAGGGGGTTCAAATTGCAGCAGAGAACTGATATAAACTAAGAGTCCACCACACTGTATTGAGAATCAGGTTCTCTATCAGTTCCCACAGTAAGCAACAGACTATAAAACCAAACAGTATAGGGAACCAGGTTCTCTACCTGTTCCCACAGTAAATCGGCAGTAAATAAAGAACAAACGATATTTACGTGGAAAGCTCCTTGCTCAAGGGATAAAAAAATTACGGCCTACCCTAGTAGGATTTCAACTCAACTAAACCGAGAAAACTTCATATTACAACCTATTGCAATCTAGGAATTAAACTCGTAATCCCTCACCCCTTAGTATAACTCTATTGTAAGTCATTTGCAATAACTCTATTACTAAGCATAAACCTTGACTAACTCTAGTCAAGAAACTAAACCAAATAGTAGTTTAAATTTGTCCTACAAAGACACTTCTTGAATGTAGTGTACGATTACAAATGAAGAACAAAATAACAAAGACTCAGTAAATCTAAGGACTTAAGATATCTTCAATCTTTGGATCTGGCCAGTAAGGTTGCAGCAGCTTTGTTCTTGAGAGAGGTGGTGCTAACACTTGAGAGAATATGATTTTTGGATTTGCAAGTGTTAGAAAAAATAAAATCTCTTGCCTCATGTTGATAATATGTATATGTTAGGTCATCAAAGATACAATAAAATGTCCTTTAGTTTGGCCTTAGCAAGCTACATCTGTGTTGTTGTAATGCTGTCAGACGGTACAGTGCAGCAGCTTTTACATCTATAGAGTTGACTGCATGACGACCAAGGGAACTTATCCATATATGTTCCCTCTATTGTTCTTTTATCTGATTTCATTGTTGAACCAGACATCTGACTAGTTACTTTGAACGCAAGGGAACTAATTGTACCAGGTTATTTATCTGGTTCTCTCATTAAATTTGTAAAATCATCAAAACAAAAAACGCATAACTTATCAATTTCCCCCTTTTTGATGATGACAAACATAGAATTGATATTCCCTCTTGTATAGGTCGAAATCTGACCACACGCGGATCAGCATTAAAAGGAATGGTGGGGGGTCGACTAGGCCATGGTCGTATTCATAAGATATCATAACAACGGGTATCTCGGTTGCTGCCGGGATCGAACTATCAAAAAGTTTGTACGGCGCGGCATATGTCGTGACATTTATGGGGAACGACCCGACGCACAATGAACAGACTAAGGCGCATTGGCTAAGAACCGTTGGATAAAGGGGAATATTTACTATATATACAAGGGGGAGATAACAAAAAACGGGCTCTCCTCCAAGAAAAAGAAAAGAGGCAGAAGAACCAGAGACTGCTACAGGAGAGAAACAAGAGAAATGCAGATCTAGGCGGCAAACCCTTATAATCATCTTTCTTGAGTTAATAAAGATAGATCCCGCAACTACTAATGGCATTCCCTCTTTTCCACCTTTATTCTTGCATTACGGAACAATACATCATGAATGTAAGCATGTCATTTATATTTGGTATCTTTCATAAGTATTAAAAGTTCACGAGCGTGACTATATCTTATTCTCCTATTCGATGTGCTTTGATCTAGAGTTAATTATCTTCGGCTAGGATTTGTCCTCTATTTTCTTATTAATTAGTTTAACAAAAAGCTTAATACTTTTTTGTCAAACCATTTGGCCGTCTGTGGGGATTTCTTAGCCAAAGTTTTAGTTTCCCCTAGATCTAAAACCAGCCGGAGTTTCGCTTCCTGGTGGCCATAGCCCCACCCTCTGTATAAACACCAACTTGAGAAAGTTGTAGGCAAGCCCTTGAAATAATCAAACCAATCAGGGTTAGATCTTTACATGAAATCGAAACTAGGTCTAATGTCTATACAAAACCCACGCCTCACCTATAGCGATGGGTTCGGCACGTCGTATGAGTACTTAAAATGGAATTACGGTCAATACGCACTTAGCAAGACCACAATCCTACTTGTCGTATTAACGTTATATGCCAATCTATACTTCCACCTCGTATGAAGGGACGATAGCCTATTGTGTGACTCTTTGAAATAACCGACTTATCCTGCTTTATTTTCGTACCCGTATGCACAGTGTAATTATGTACAGGGTCTAACACGTTTCCCTTATTATCCGCGCATATCAGACGGGTTCAAACCGAAACTCGAGCTTGAGATCCCAACGGGCGAAGCAAGTTCAACCCATAAGGAGCCTAGACGCGACTAACGGCGAAGCCAAATGTGGGGCTGCCAAACCTGAAACCGCCATTCGAGTACGGGATGAATGGGTCGCCTAATAGCGCTCTTCCCACCTCGCCGATCGACCAGGCCAAGGTACGCGAACAAGGAACAAATGCCACCGAATGCACCAAGCAAAATCCTCCACACCATACCGTATTGCAAATAACAGACAAACGGCTCAAAACAAGCTGGTATTATTGATAAAATCTCCATGAGTTGGGACTGAGCGGTGAGCCCGTGGAACGTACAGTCCCTCAGACACAAGCAGAACTTGAACTCGAAAAGCTTGCATGTATATTCGC